GCCAGGGCTTTTATAAATAATGGATTTTAGCCGCACAAATATTTGGTTTAGGTTTAGGTTTGGACAGAAAGAAAAGGCCTGTTTTTCAGAGTTTGCTGAAACAAACGGAGGTTTCTGTCAGGAATCCATAACTCTGCAGGACTTTCACCACAACCAATCAAAACGCACACATCTTGCCAATACTGCCTTCCATCTCCCTGTGTACGCACACACACACACACACACACACAGAGACATCCTGCTGAGACAGAGACACAAGGTTGGCAGACAAATAGTGCTGTCATTTGTTAGCTGCACCAGGGAGGAGGGAGGGGGAGGGGGAGGAGAGAGAGAACAAGAGAGTGATTGCTCCTGTGTGTGTGTGTGTGTGTGTGTGTGTGTGTGTTGACAGTGATGATATATAGAAGGATCCAGGCTCCAGTTTGACTCCTCCTGCCTCATGTTTGAGGAGGTGAAGATGTCAGTGAGAAAATACATTAAATCAGATCCAACGGGCGATTCGTTCTGAGCAGAACTCTGGTTCTGGTTCTGGTTCTGGTTCATGTCCATGAATGTGTTATCGCTCAGTCTGGGCCGCGATACAATACCGCCACCCTGTGGTTAGCTGCGGTCATTTCCTCACCACCTGTGAGCCGTTTAAGGACGTATTCTTGAAAGGTTTACTGTCAGTGGAGCGGGTTAGAAACCGAACTCCACCGGTTCCGGGTCCACTTCAGTTCGAACCACAGGTCAGCAGCCGCGCACAGACCTTTAATATAAATAACGAGACTAACATGAAAACAAAATGAACTCACCGGAAGTTGAACCGGGGACCTGAGCTCTGGTGATGGATGGACACAGCGACACCTGACGGTCTTCTTGGTGTCCAGTCTACGCCGTCATTGTGTCTTGTTTAGTTGTTGTCAGAAAATCCTGGTTCAGAAAAATAAAGTGTTGATAATAGTGTCGAGGTTTCTTTGACTTTTCACAGTGTTTAAATTTAATTCGAGCTCTTGGTCAACTTTATGTACAGGTGCGTTTGACTTGACGGAAACATGCTAACCTCTCACTAGTGTTTATACAATGAAACGTGTTTTACAATAATTAAGATTGGGTTTTTTCGGTACTAGCCCGCCACCTGGTGGATGATTTTATCGGCTGTACTCAAGTGTAGACGAGGTTCACTAGACATTAGGGCTACAGTCGCTGATACACAACGTATTAGCATTAGCCAAATCGCTGCTAACATGCTAGTGCGTTGATTTGATGCTTATTGCAAAAAGTGTTTACTAATGTTCAATAAACTAGTCGACAGTCAGTAACCAGTCAGAAGGTTGTTCTTGTTGAGGAGCCGGGGTCCAGGGGGGGACGAGGAGCCGGGGTCCAGGGGGACGAGGAGCCGGGGTCCAGGCGGGACGAGGAGCCGGGGTCCAGGGGGACGAGGAGCCGGGGTCCAGGGGGACGAGGAGCCGGGGTCCAGGCGGGACGAGGAGCCGGGGTCCAGGCGGGACGAGGAGCCGGGGTCCAGGGGGACGAGGAGCCGGGGTCCAGGCGGGACGAGGAGCCGGGGTCCAGGGGGGGACGAGGAGCCGGGGTCCAGGCGGGACGAGGAGCCGGGGTCCAGGCGGGACGAGGAGCCGGGGTCCAGGCGGGACGAGGAGCCGGGGTCCAGGGGGGGACGAGGAGCCGGGGTTCAGGGGGGACGAGGAGCCGGGCATTGAGTTTTGGACGTGTAGAAAGTTAACATAAAACATAAGACATAAAATTCATGTCCAGCCATAAATTGACCAGCAGAGGGCTCTTCCTTGGACAGTCAACTTAGGAGATGAATTGACTAAACAAACTGTGCTGCTGTGGCCTTCATCACTGACTGTAACAGTGTGTGTGTGTGTGTGTGACTGATGGGTGCAGCAGAGGTTGGAAGCTTCTTTTCTCCTTTCTCTCCAGTTCTGCAGAAGGTCATCACTCATACAGACAGAGGTGGGGGGGGGGCGGGGGGGGGGGGTGTGGGTGCTCTCGTATGCCTGGCGGTGTGTGTGTGTGTGTGTGAGTGTGTAAGAGCTGATCCGAGGACCAAGATAATGACACACACACCCTGGGATCAGGTGGTTGATGTGTGTGTGTGTGTGTGTGTGTGTGTGTGTAACGTATCTGACCAATAAGGAGATGTGATGTCAGCAGATGCAAAAAACAGATAATTTATTTTTTAAAATTGACATCATTAGTCAACAACTAACCAGCAGACGTTGACTGGTGCCAACAGTCCACGACCAAATATAAATATAAATATAAATATAAACCATGTTCAGACGTTGACACACGGTCTGTCAGCTGACACTGATCCACATCAACACCTGGACCAGCAGTGTTAGAAGAACGCTGCTGCTGCTGCTGCTGATGTGCGCCCCCTCCTGGACAGAGGTTTTAAACATTTCAGGGTGTCCGATGTTCCGGGTCGCAACCAAGAGTCAGTGACAGCAGATTCTGTTGAGACGTTGTTGTCAACACTGTGAGAAGAAAATCTGGGAGGATCTGGGTCTCCACGAGTCTGGACCAGAGATCCTGAAGAAGGAGGAGAGACACTGGGGGTCAGTGAGGGTGAGTGAGGGTCAGTGAGGGTCACACCCTGAGCCTGTACTACAGTCTGACCCTGTAGACTGTGAAAACTCTCACCTGAGCTGTTGTCACGTCTGTCTGTGGTGAACTGACTGGAGGCAGCTCCATCCTGGACCAAACACAGGACAACAGACAACTTAGAGGTTAGATGTGGCAGCAGCAGCAGCAGCAGCAGCAGCAGCAGCAGCAGCAGTCAGAGTGTTCAGCCTTTTTCAAACTCTGGTCCAAAACTAATCCAACTTCAACAAAGCAGTGAGTTTATATTAAACATATAAACTCACTGCAGCTGTCCACTGTATGATGTCACTATGATGTCACTGTCCACTGTATGATGTCACTGTCCACTGTATGATGTCACTGTCCACTGTATGATGTCACTGTATGATGTCACTGTATGATGTCACTGCAGCTGGGTGACAGTCAACACCACAACACGTCAGACTGATGTACCTGAGGAAGCTGTGACTGTTTGACCAGACGGCGCCTCTCTCTGGCAGAAAGCTGAGTTGTCGTCACGTACTCTGGAGTACAGGGCACAGGGAAGGAGTGGCCGAGAGGATCTACAGTAAAGGATCACACACACACACACACACAAAACTGTGTTTGAGGCATGGTCAACAAGTGAAGTGAAGTCAGCAGGCTGTGACCTTTGACCTGTGCTGTAAACCTAGGTCAGGTTGGACTTTGACTCCTGAGTCAGAGATGAAGTGAGTGAACGTAATGAAAACCTAATCACAGAAGGATGTCCTTCCTCTGCTCTCACCGATGAACTCACTCTCTGACTCCAGCAGAGAACCTCTGGACTGATGTCGTCTGGTCGTCCTCCTCTACAACAAACACATCGATGACTCTGGTTAGTCACAGCCGCGTCACAGTCAGAACCTGTCACACGGACCACTGCTCCCACTTACCAGACGTTCCTGTTCTCGTGGTTGGGACAAGTCAAAAAAATCTGTCACAAAAAAAACAAAAAACATTTTGTGACAAAACTAAGACACAAAAAAGACTAAAAACCCGTGATATTTACATCACAGAGATGAAACAGAAACAGTCGCAACAACAACAACAACACCCTGTGTTAAGAGAAACACAGAAACAGTCACAACAACAACAACAACACCCTGTGTTAACAACCAAACTGTGACCCAGAGCTGGAGGTTTGAACTGGAGTACAGCGCCATCTCCAGGATGAGCTCACCGTCCTCAGCTGTTTGTCTCCCTCTGCTGGCCTGCTGACTTGTACTCCTGTAGTCCGGCCTTCTTATGTTGGCCACGCCCATCTCTTCCAGCGTCAGAACCTGAGTGGAGCCCGCCCTGGACTTAGGATCTGGATCACATGTGGAGACACCAACCATTTACAGCAGACAGAGCTGACGTCCACTAGAGGTCAGTGAAGGGTTAGAAACCCAGGGACGCACCTTCATGTTTGAGCTGGAGTGAGTCGTGGATTTGCAGCAGGTTTTTGGGTTCCATATTTCTGGAGCTGGGCCTTCGGACCGGAGCCTGGAGCCTGAGACGGGCCATGTCGAACACGTCCACCAGGTGGTGCTCCTGATGCCTGGACCGTCACAGGTAAATTCACACAACAAATTCACACCACAGTCAGTCAAGACATCAACCTTTCACCTCGAGCCTCGTTAGCTTGTTGTTCACACACACACACACACACACACTGACCTGTCACTCAGAGGAGAGTCCAGATCCTCCCAGCCACCGTGCTGCAGTCGGCTCTCCAGCCGCTTCTGTTCAGTGCGAAGCTGTCGGCGCAGAGCTGACAGTTCACTGAACATGTCCCACTGGTCTCCTGCAGCTCTGAGCTGGGCTGTTGGAGCAGGAGGAGGAGGAGACTGAAGACCAGACAGAGAACGTTCCTGCAGGAGTGAAGATCCACAGAAGATCAACGGCAGAAAAACACCACCTTCATGTTTGTTGGTTTGTCTGGGGGGAAACGACAGGGGTCCTTACAGAGAGGGGGGCAGTAGAGCGCTGACTCTCAACTGTGGGGGGTCGTTGGGTCAACGGGTGTGGTCCACGTTTCTTCAGCAGAGTGGGGATCGGGGGGGAAGGACTCCTGTGGACCTAAAGAAAAGGAGGAACCAATTTAACATCATCATCACCATCACCATCATCATCATCATCATCACCATCATCTTCATCATCACCATCATCATCATCATCACCATCATCTTCATCATCACCATCATCACCATCATCATCATCACCATCATCATCTTCATCATCACCATCATCACCATCATCATCATCACCATCATCATCATCACCATCATCATCTTCATCATCACCATCATCATCATAATCATCATCTTCATCATCTTCATCATCACCATCATCATCATCATCAACACCATCATCATCACCATCACCATCTTCATCATCATCACATGTTGTGGTTTACCACAGACCTCCTCCACCTGAGCTCGACTCTCCTTCTCGTACTGTCTCCTCAGCTCCTCCTTCTCCTTCTCTTCTGCCTCCTTCTTCTTCCTCTCTGCCTCCTTCCTCCTCTCCTCAGCCAGTTGAATCAGCTCCTCATTCTTGGCCTTTTGCTAAAAGACAGAAAAAAAACCCAAACACCAACCATGATGTTCATATTCTTCTCACATTCAATCTTTAAATGGAATCTTTAAAGCATCACCTCCAGCTCCTTCTGCCTCCTCTTCTCCTGCTCCTCCTCAAACTCCCGCTGGATGCGAGCCCTCTGCTCCGCCAGCCGTTTCTCCTCCTTCTCCTCCTCCAGTCTGGTCCGCTCTCTCTCTTCTGCTTTTTTGAGTAACTTCTCCTCAATCTGATGACAGAACAAATGAGGGGAACTCAACACCAATCAAAGGAGCAGTGTGACCACTCAGCCAGCAGGGGCGCCAGAGGCCCCGTGACCCAGTACCTGTTGTTTGAGGTAGGCCTTGTACTTGTCCTGCTGCTGCAGCTGCTGCTGGCTGGGCTGGTTAGCAAACACGTTCCCTCTGGCAAACTGTGGGGTTTGGACACATGTGAAACCTGCAGAACCACAGACACAGAACCACAGACATGGAACCACAGACATGGAACCACAGCTCTGCCTGAAGAATCAACAGTAACCGAGCCTGAACAGTACCAGACACTCTCTCGGTGGGGTCGGGTGGCGGGGGCTGTCGTTCCATGGTTCTCCTCTGCCACTGCTCTGGGTTGATGTAGGCCTCTTCGTTAAGTTTGTGCATCTGGTTGAGGTCAGCTGAGCCACAGTCAGACATGGGTCCATTAGTCAGGTGAATTAGTGACTGTGAACTAACTAAACCTTTGATGACACGGTGCTGGTTGGTTTCAGAAACTCACCAAGGAGATTCCCTGTGCTGTCCTTGAGGGGAGCTCCCCCCCCCCCCCCCCCCCCCGCTGGGGGTTTCCCACCTCACACCCCCCCACGCGCCCTGTGTTCCCCCCCC